ACTAATTGTAAGTGAAATGCAGCCAATGATCAACCCGATGAAAATCTTCCTTATTAAGTGAAAGTCAGCATGGTAGGTAGGGGAACTGCAAGTACATAAGCAGAATCCCGAAGACACTACTCAAGCCAACCCACGCGCATGCCATATCTCCGACCAAATCGGCATCTCTTCCGAGCCGGGATTCTCGTAGCATATTGCGAAGAAAGAACGATAACTACACCCGTCATGCATCACCAGCATGTTGTGAAGTCTTGTGAAATTCCTGATTCACCCTTGCAGCAGCTCATTCATTTACAGATCCACTGCCACGCTCATAAGGCCATTCATGCTCTACGATACTGAAACAATAAGGACTCTTCCTTTGACATTGGTTTAACAAACGAACACAATTTGAGTGACTGCAGTTCGGTCACGTTTGAGTTTGGGTAAAACTCATGCTTACAGCAGGGATGAAGTTTAGACTTCTGTGTGTGTTGCCAACTGCAGAAGCCTAGGTGACCTCCAAGCTGAGAGGCTTACGAGCTGTGTTATTTTTTGAAGACACGAGTGTGATACGAGAATAGCTTAGAAGTGGCGGGTGGGAGAGCATGAAGCGTGGATAATGGGTACAAAGGCATATTAGGTTAAAATTTGAGTTTCAATACCGCAGGGTATCAAGTTCTTATGGATGTGGCATTAGGTCTGTGAAGGTCGCCATCCTGAAGAGTTGGGTTGCTATAGGAGTGACTCGAAGACATTCTCCATCGTAGTGTGATTCGACAGCAGTCAGACTAATGTGAATATGATTGATCATATGATTGATCATATATCATATCGTATGTAGCCAATGGTCATATTAAACTGCAACATTTTATTGCGCATAGGCAGTCTAGGCAAATTAGGAAGAAACAACTAAAAATATGCCAGCGATATTTACCGAGTGTCGTTAGCATTCATACTTCGAAATATATCACGAGCCTTACCACTCCGGGAAGGGCATCGACTGGACCAGGGATAGGGCATGCGCCTAACAAAACAATCAGAATTCATCAATGCTCTATATAAAAATGAGAATTATATTTTGATCGGACGATGACACATTCGTACCAACATCAAATTTATCTGCATTGGCCAGGCTATCAAACGTTTGTAACGCTGCTGGCCATAATGCNTGCGTTTCTGCTCGCACTGTTTTAGCCTTGACGGCTTAAAAATGGTAACCCCTGTAGCGCTATAGTAATGCCTATTTTGATCTGTTGTGATACAATTAAAAAAAAGAGCGCCTCTGCACTAGTTGAGATAGCTTTAGGAAAGCACTATATCTCCTCAACTAAGCAGGATTGCTCAGCAAAAGATATATTTTTCTGATTCTAGACATTTAGTGGAATCGACTGGTGTACAGAAATTAATATGTTACTCGGCAAACATGAGAGTACGGTAGGCTTGAAGATGGTAACCCCTACAGGTTTGAAGAAATAGCTCTATCTCCTCATGTAATTAGATTGCTCAGCAAAATGTATGATATTCTGGATCTATAGATTCCGCTGGATCGAACGGTGTACAGAAATTTACATTTTACCGGGCAAACCTGAGAAAACCGGTAGCTTGAAGATGGTAACCTCTATAGAGCTATAGTAACGTATTAGTTGATCTACACTGAGTCATTCTATATGAATGAGTGCCTTTGCGCTTGTTGAGATAGCCTTATGAAAATAGCTATATCTCCTCAAGTAAGCAGGATTGCTCGACAAAATATATGTTTTTCTGATTCTAGAGATTTAGCGGAATCGAATGATTTCCTCAAGTAAGCAGAATTGCATGGAAAAAATATAAGATTTTCTGAATCTAGACGTTCCGCTGGATCGAATGACAAACGGCAATTTTTTCACGCAAAATTCTAATGCTCAAATTTTCCAAACTAATTTCACCTGATATCCATTTTGAGACCGAAATTTCAACGATTGAAAGATATTATTTCGATTATGATTTCGAATTTTTAGGTGATCCAAAATTCGAAATAAAAATGCGGCTTAAGCACCAATTCCTACAATCCTGTTTCCATCCGACTCAAATTGAACGCCTTCTTGTTCATGAAGATCCCATCCAGGATATCAGAAACAAGCTTCATCTGCCTACTCTTAGTCGCCACATAACTGCTGGTTCTCCCACTCGTAGTTCAGAGCAAAAAAAAAACCTTCTTCTCAACTTTTCATATAATTACTACTCTCATTGACCAAAAGTCGATGTTATTGTGTTAGAAATGTTCCCCAGTTCTAAAACGCTTCACCATTCGATTCTGAACCGAAAATTTCGCCGCTATCGGGACTCTACTTTTGCTTATTTGTTGTTTTCTATCAACATTTATGCTACTAGTTCAACTAATGACTGCATTTGTTTGTTGCTTTTCGCTAAAGAATAACGAGGTTGATACAAAATGAAGAAGGTTGATACAAACCTGAATAAGAATAATGCGAATAAATGAGGTTGATTCAAACTCTCTTTTCCGTCTGTATCTCCATTGCGGCGTATCGGATTTGTTTGTAATTATTAGTGGGTACCATATAAGCTGAACTAATTATGTAGATTGCATACATAAAATGTGAACATCTTTCATTNAGTTATCATTATAATGTTGCGTGCTTTACGGAGGTTTCCTTGTGCGAGGTTTATTGCTCAGGGCTGACATAAAGTGTTCATTGGAAGTTGTTATTTAGAGGTTACTGAGACAAGTTGGATTTTGGTGGCTATCGGTAAATCGAAACTGAAACCCAATGATCTTTGTCGATGACCAACCAAGATCAAATCTGAATGCACTGACCGAGACGAAGTGTCAATAAAGATTTTGCAGATGTATGATAAAAACGGAGTGTATTTTGAATCGTCGATACTCATTATTGAAGGTACAGCACTGATCATCGGTGGAGGAATCGTGGTTGTGGCCCTTTTGAAAACACCGCGATTGGCTAAACAATATCCACTGATAGTAGCACAGGTTGATTGATCTATTCACTTTATGAGAACTTTTTTATTACTGTTATTATTTTTACTGCTGCTACTGTTGCAGTTTCGTTACTATTCATATTGTTAATGTATTTTCATAATTTTATCTGCACAATTTATAAAATATTAAATAGTTGACTTTGTATCCGTCCGTATGTTAAATGCCCAACGCTGTTCGCTGAAAAGCAACAATTGGATAAAATAACTTTTTTTCGCATTATCAATGAATGGAATGATTCGTATTCTACTTGAAGTCGAGATACCTATCGATAGACCTTGATAATAATAAAAATAGATTGAATGATAAAAATTTCAGCAGGCGACTGCGCTAATGATAGGCTTAAGTATGTTTTTGGCTGGAATCGGGAGAATCATCATATTGGCGTTCGGGTATGTTGAGCCAAGAAGTTCGCGATTTTGTGTGTTGATGCCTTGGAATTTGCTCTCTACTTGGTATTGTTTTTCATCATTATTGTTGTTATCATTTAATTGAATAATAAATATTATTTTGAATAAATGAAATGGCAATTGCAATCATAAAGTGATCAATTGAAGGGCAGAACCATCGTTACCAATCATGCTGCTCGTGATTAGTCTTGATCGATTGCTGTCTTTGGTCGTACCTATGACCTATTTCAAGAGCAGTTTTAAACTTCAGATTATTCAGGTTTATTTATTATTATTACTTTCGTTATTCTGAATGTTTATCTTTCGTTGCTCCGTTAAATTACTCTGAATTGAATGTGAAAAAATAATTTAGCTGTCAATATCGCAAGGAATTTTGGCTCCGATTGTGCTTCAAGTTTGGATTTTGGCATTTACTGATACTGTACCAAACAAGGATTCTGTTTGCTGGTATACTTTACTCATCACTGCAACTTATTGACTATTCTAAGTGATTGAGTATGTTGATGTCTTAATTGAGTTGAATATATTAGGGTGAATGCAACTGAATCAACACGTGACAGAACTTTTGGTCACCTTAATAAATAATATAATTTCAGGATAAATGATGTTATGCAAGAATATCATACAATCGAATTCTTTTCTATAAAAATTATCACATCGATGTTAAGTGTTGTTTTCTACTTAATAGCATATGTACTATGGAGGAAAAAAGCCGCAAAAGTCGATCATTTTGTGGGTTTAAATCATTCCTTTCGTTGCATTCATAATCTAATGTAAGTAGTGACAGAGTTGTATTCGTAAAACAGATAGCCTCAGGCTGATATGACCGATATAACCATTTGCTTATTCAAGAAATAAGTCAATGTATGAGGCAGTGTATGCCCAGATATATCCGGATATTCTACTCCGATTATCGCCACAGAATTGAGTGAACCAACTAATCATTTACAACAAATTGAAGGGCGAGGCACAGCGAGTCTTCGAAGAACGTCAACGCCAGCTAACGTTCACCATGTTGATCACATGTCTGTTCACAGTGGTTTTCTATGCGGTACCGAGTGCAGTTGTATTCATAACGCACAACACCAAAGACTCATCACTCGAAATCATCCTCCGCTGGTATGGCAGAATCTCCGAGGACATCACTTGCCTCGTCATTATTCTTATCCTCTATTTCAAACAACCAGATATTGCCAAAGCTATCAAGAACATGTTCAGATGTATTAAGTCTGTGCATCGTTCTGGAACAACTGTTGTTTGTTGATGTCACATTTGTTGGGAGTACGAGATGGGAATCAGGTTGAAAGCAAGATGGTGGTGGAACCCTACGAACAGGTTCCCTTCTAGGAACTGGTAGGAGTGTATCGGGAGCTCACGCTCTCATTTTTGCTCATACTAACCGAGTCGTTCTGTTCCTATCGTTCCGAAATTAATTCGAAATACAGACCTCANTCAGTAAAATATCTGAACGTTGCACGTCATGCCATAATGAAGTAAAGCTGCAGCACAACGGGTTTCTTTTTGTAAATTCTCATTGGTTCACAGTTTTTCGATTGCTTTATGCAAACTGAATGAAGCAGAACATAATGAATTTAACAAAAACAAAATGAAATCGACTTCAAAAAGAGGCTACAGTTGTAATGTACCCGAATGAACGTATAATACAAATGTGAGATGAAACAATCAAAGTAGTGATTACGATCGAGCACAAGTATTCTATCAAAGAATCGTTCTGTTGTTCAATGATTGACTTCTCATTGTTCGATTGTTCTCAACAACCAGCAATGGTCTTGTTCGAGACGGAGTCGCATCTGACGCTTTTTGTCGTTTCATAACTCTGAAATTGAGATCTCTTGAAAGAGTTCTAACAACTTGAAGTATCCCTTAAGGAGTGCATGACCAAGCACAATTCTTCAACGAAGTTATTACATGACGAACACTGAACGAATAAAAATGCGTGACGAGGCGAGATGAGGTCTGGCGAAATCAAGAAACGAACTTAGTTTCTGTCGGCGAGTGAGCGCGAAATGCTGCTGAATTGCGACGAATCGAGCTGATTCGCGATAGAAACGAACTGAGCACATCTGACGATGCAATTATTCGACCCCACAATGGCCTTTTCCGCTTTCTTGTCAACCAAAAAAACAGCAACGGATTCCAAATCACAGTTGACATCGCAATAACGTGTGCAACTAACGGCCACAAAAATGGCTGCCTCTCCAAGAATTCTGGCTCCTTCCCTGCAATAGCAACAATATCGGCGGCAGCTTTCCTGAACTGTTGAAATAAAGAAAATGCTGCAGTCTAGCATTTTACATTGTGATTTCTTAATGCGTCAACAAAACGAAGTGAAAAGCAGTGGAGGGTGTTGACTGAACCTGCGACGAGAACAACCTGACGACGAGACGAACTTGGCAAGATGGCACGTACTATCCTTGATTGTTCTCGTTGACTTTAAGTTCGGTTCTTTTCGGAGAGAAAATATCAGGCTCAAAAAAGATCGAACGAAAAAGAACTCACTGAAATCTTTGACCAAATTGACGGCAGTTAAAGGCAACCAACATCCAATAAATGCAACCACCATGCCAATCAAAATATAATTCACCTAAAAGTTTGTCGTTTTTTTTTTTCAACTCTGTCAAATATTCGCAAATCAACGAACACCTTCGCAGTAAATGACACTTTCGTTGCACAAACTGACTGCACTGTTTCCATATTGATGTCAAATTGCATGACATTGCTACAATTTTTGTATTGTAATTTGCCACCTTTTATGCAATTTTTCTCATGAGCATTCACGATTAACGCGAGTCGAATAACTAGAAAAGAGAACTTACTCGTTTCTTCCTTTGTGTAGCCTCGATACGCTGAGCTGTTGAAAGACTTCCACTAAATTGTGCATTCTGTACGATCATATCTTTGGCTACCTTCTCTAATATCCTACTGTAGCAATAAGTTATTATTGCTAGCGGCACCACAAACTGAAATTTTATTTTAAATTCTATTTATAAACGTTCAATAAACTCAACAAATCTTAATTGTCACTCACGCAATTTTTGCACTCTTTCAAAAATATCTAGGCTGCTCAAAAAACTGGTACTCTTCATTTCACATTGCTTTTTTTATCCAGTGAAAATTAATCAGATTCAGCCACTGTATACCATACGAATGTAACTAGTAGCTCGAAACGAGTGAATGCGATATTTTTTCGGTCAACACAAAGTGTCCCTAACTGAAAATGTTTGTGATTAGTTTGAAAATGAAGCGAACGCATATGGTATGAATTAAAGTGATGTGCAATAAAATGATCCGAACGGATTGCATTACTTCAAAATTAAAGTCATCATTTCAGATGTCAATTCTCTTGATGCAATGTCATTTCTGGGCACATTAAATGCAAATATTATTTGCAGTTCCACATTACCAGCGCTCCAATCACAATTTTTGCTCATCCGCAGTCTCCCGTTCGCGTAATATTCCATCTGCGTTTGGTGCTTTTTTAAACTGTTTCTGAGTGTGATTCCATTTCAGAACTCCATTTTACACGCACTCATTATGACCATCAAATTCAAACCCTACTAAAGCGGTTCATTTTCGAGTTTATCTGATCAACATTTTAGCTTTTTGCAATTTTCTGCAACGAACGCATATTTGTTAACGTCATTCAATGCGAATTTTATTTCTTTTGCATTTCACTTCAGTCCAAAAAGCAAATAAAACAACTCAAAAGATCTTTCTCCTCAGGGGATTATCTGTCATAATTGTTTAATAGAATCAGGAGTAAAGAACAAGCCTCGATTTCATACGCTCAAAAAAGTATTCAGCAATATTTCGCAGAATTTGCACTTGATTAAAACATTACCGAGAGTTTCTTTTCAATGAGATATGCAAATCGTTGATGCGAAGATAAAATGTCATATATGGCAAAGAATTACATATCAATGAAGATTATATGATGGTTATGATTGGATATTTAGAACTTCTGTGCTTTTCCCTCGTATTCAATGCTTTCATGACGAGTGCATATTGTGAAAGAAGCAGTGCAGGTAGATAGATCTATCGGGCGTTTTTTTTACATTCAGCTGAATAATTGTCATTAAACATGAATTTGAAGTTGTTTATGAGCAGTCGACATGAATATATGGAATATGAGCATTACAAACACTCCGAACTGGTTATTCACATGTATTCATGAAGAATTTATGCTTAATCAATGATTCGCATAGAAGTACGCATGAAGACGTTTATCTATGCATGTGCAAGTCCACGAACTGCTTCATCACGTCTTTCACAAAATTCCCCTTAAAAAGGATCCTAGAACTCGACTTGAAGCAAGAAAGCCGCAAAAACTTTTACGACTATACTCCACATTTCCATGGGTGTTCATTAATCTTAAAGAAATTCAGATTGCTCAGTAGAGAAAGCAACTGGACAACTATTTTCATGAAATGTATTGAGAAAAAATTTGTGGGAATATTCAAAAATTGTAAATATTTGGAAAGAGTTTTTAAAAGTGTTCTTTTTGCCGGTAATTCATCCACGCTAATGCGATTGAATGAATAAAAGATACAGCGTGATAGTGGTTTCTTCCGTTGGAACACAAAATTTCCTCAATGAAACAAATTCTAAGCGGCGATCAATGAATGTGCGAATATTTCAAGAATATGAATTTTTCAAGTCATTTGAAACGACGCTTCTTAAAGCTTGAGAACATTCTCACCGCTTATCGAATTCAGAGTAAAGCAATTGTTGATGCTCAAAAATATCACTACATATCATCAAAAAAGTTTCCAAGAATGTTTTCACTAAAGACACGAATTGTTCATCATGAACAGAACGTAGTGTTGTTTATGACTTTGAAATGTTACTTCACTGAATCCAATTATGTCATCACCAGTTAACTGATCAGATCTTTTCAAGCATCAGTGTTATTGTTGGTGAAATTATATGAAATCGCCCGGAATGTTATTAGGTTATTTCCATGACAAATAATTTCGATTCCATTCTTATTCCGAATAAGTTGCAGTCTCACGAATACAACCAGTGGAATACTACGAAAGAACATGATAGACGACACAACGAGACTGAGTCAAAAAGGAATTTGCCTCGTTTCTCGGGCTAACTGCGTATTCATCGTTAAGTGTTCTGCAAATTGCTCCGTTCTGTTTGTCAATATGCTGCTTATTTCAATGCTACTTCAATTTCCTTGCTATTTTTTTTCAGGAGGATTTTAAGCAACTTTCGAAGATCCTTCAGCAGATATTATCTGTTCAGAAACTTTTCCGTTTCAAACGATTTGAAAAAATTCTCGCTGATAATGATGATGGCAAATTTGTGACTTGGTGCGAAAAATAGCCGAAAAATATTTCGAAGAACACAACAAAACTTCGTTTCAGTTAAAAATTTGATTGTGCAAACGCTTAAACAACTCTGAATAGTTCAGCAACTTGAAGATTGGAGAAAATTTTTCGTTGATTAAGAGCGAGCATAGCAATTTTCAAAGTTTTGTCTTCTCGTCTCTGATCGATGCAATTCGGATCTTTTTTTGTTCTCTTAAAACTTTCTAAATGAGCATTCTAAACGAAATTTGAACTCCAGTCATTACTCACACATAACACGAACGATGGTTTTTTTTAGATATTATTTGAAGCTTAGGTGAGTAGTTCTTTAAAGGCACCTCAACGCTGCATAATGACTGACAACTAGGAATTATGAGCGTTAACACATCATCGCTCCAGGTTTGCAGTTTGGCGAACAATTGTCAAGGTTGCTCACAGTGAACTATTGAGAAGATACAGCAACTGAACTGAGAAGAAGCAGAATTTTGGAGTTATGGCTGGAGAATGAATGGAGTGCAAGTACCTGTAATAGCATGACAGTAGAGCCATACAATCTGCGCGGTGTCTCACCCTGCCAGTTGAGTTCATCGCAGAAATGGCCACAAAACGGTGTCGCGTTCTCGGGTACATAGTATGCGCCATCCACCAAGTCGTAACTCATCAAATACGGTATATTAATTAAGGAACAAATCAACCAAATAAACAACGTGATCAATGCGGCTTGTCGAATGCGGACCGGTGCACGAGTTGGATTGATTATATGCACAAACTTGTCCAATGCGATTGCTGTCAAACTCCAGCTGAAATATACTCCTTATTTATGCATAAAATTTATTTCTTGCAATTTCACAAAGAACATCAGCAATTCGAATGGCTATCCGAAAAGCATATGACAGGCGCAGAATCCCACTGTATCGCTAAGCGACACCGATAAACTGATTCAAAAGTTTTTGACGCAAAAATATTCCAAAATCATCATTGAATGACTGATTAGTAATTTCAAAGTATCGCTCTTTGAAAGTGCAACTCATATTAGTTAATTAGTTGTGTAATTTAGATATTGCAGCATTGATCATCGCAATAAGATTGGTGTCACATTATTAGGCGACATGCTTGCAAAATGTTTGCTTCTGCTCGATTCTTCACTTAAAACGACAAACTGAACCTCTCCCACGGAATATGAAGTAAAGCCGAAAGGGTAAATGTCTAGAACTAATCCATTGCGTGACAAAATCTGATACTCAAACAGCAGAGCTATCTTGAAGGAGCAGCTAATAATTATTCTCGAAATGCTTCGACTTTGAAAATGCCATAGAAATGCACCCACTCATTTGTGGCTTAGCAATTGAAAGTCTGCTTTAAGAGAGTCCTCTGACAATCCTCATTACCAATCGCTTTTCACCAATTAACCGCAAAGTCACAGTTTCAAACGAAACAGAACTCCTGGGTAAAACCGAAAAAATAGAGACAAATTCTTCTTCTAATTGTGATGTGTTATGATGAAAAAGTCTTGACCACAAAACTTCATTATCAATGGAATAACAATGACGAGTGTTTACTGAAAAATTTTCCGTGAAAAAAAATGTTTTCTTTTTGAAAAGTGAATGTAAAAGTGAGATTTTTCCCTTTCCTTCCGTTCGTTTAGGTTTTCCTTTTTCGTTTTGTTTCCGTTCAGAAAAGTATTTCCCGATTCCCTTTCGTTCACCAATCAATATTCAGAGATTTCCCTATATCAACGTACTAAACTGGGATGCATGTAAGAGCATATTGGATAGCAATAACAAAACATAGTGATCTATTGAAAATCTCGTTAAATAAACACAAATCGAAGCACTTTTTTTCTGCGAGATGGAATGAACTTCAGAACATTGCTCGAAAGAACCTCGTTGCACATCATCCCAAAATAAATATCAGCGAGAACAGTTGCTATCGGTCGATCGAAACGTTTCATATTTCAACCAAACTGTCATTCTACGTATGCACTTCCACTGAGAGCACCACAAAAAAAACAAATCGCTATAACTCGAAGTAATCCTCTCGAAAAAAAGATTCACCACAAACATTTTTTGTTTTGCAAGAACGATATCAAGTTCCTTACTATGTTTTCATTATTAGTGAAAAGTAAGACTCATAAGATCATTTTTGACTAATGAACCGACTGGAAATGATGTGCATTTCGTAGTAGAATTAACTGCGATTGCGTTTCGATATCTTTTGATTCCCTTCAACATTTGACGGCTTCAAAGAAAATACAACTAAAAATCGCTCCAAATATATTCGGTAACTTCATTAAGTCCGATTTTCATGAATCGATTTCGATCAATCGAAGGGAACTAATAAAGATAGTGAGTGTGGCACTCAAATCAGCCACAGTAACGGCCATTAATTGGTATCTGTGCAAACAAATAAGTCCCTTGCAAGAGTGTGTTGTTTTCTCAGCTGTTTTCTTCGCTCGTAATCAGCACTTTTTGTCGACTAAATAGTAAATTCAACTGTTTACCCAACATTATCTTATAATTGGATTAAATATAAATGATACTATCAAGTATCGAAAAATACGATTCTGAAATCATGAAAGAGAATCGGAAATGAAATGGCATGAGACATTCCTCGACTAAATCAAATCCAAACAAAACACGCAAAAAGCAAGAGAAAAGTTGTGCAAAAAGTGTTCACTAACACCCAATCCCCAAGAAAGGTCCATCGAAAAGACGAGTGAAAAAAACAGAGTGTATTGAGTAAATCTCATTCAAAAAGTGAAAACTACGGCTAATTCAAGCCTGAGCTCGTTCAGATGCGATACGATTATATTTGTGTTGGAGTAACGGCTTGCTGAGATCGTGAGAGCACATTACATTTTGTGCGTAATTTGCTATATGCCGCATCAAAGTGCAATAAAAAAGATTTGAATGAATTTCGATGGGTCAAGTCGATATTTCAAAGACTGACTTTCCTTAGAGTCGACTCATCTATGGAATCTTAAATAACTGAATACTTTGTGGAGTTGTATGCGAAAACAATAAGCATCATAATTGGTTGCGAAGATAGGCTTGGAATAGATGAAAAGAATCGGCTGAAATAAACAAACCTGGTCACGAAAACGGAACATGAATTTGATAGTGGCATCAATCGACACATCAACGCACCAAACTGCCAGTCTTTTGCAAGTGCATACCACGGTGTCACCGGGATGGCGGTAACGCACAGCAGAATATCGGTTAGGATCAAATTGAGCAGGAATATATTCCGTGCTGAGCGTAAACGTTTGTTTTTCGATACCGCAAATAACACACCACCGTTTCCGACGAGACCAATCACCATCAAAGCACCGTAGACGAGCGAGAACGCTACTTGAACCGACGTCCAACTTAAACAACAACTTTATCTCCGAGTCTCTGCGAAACATTACGATCATTAGGAAATATAAAATCTCGAGTGAGTGCTTCAAAAAGGGTTCTCCTTGATGGGGTTCAATGGGCCTAAATATCGGCCAAACTGCTCAGTTAAATAGATATTCCAGCTGCTAAAGTCGAACCTTATTTGGTAATAAACTGAAAAGTGAGGAGAATTTGTGCTTGTTAGGGAGAACAGTCATGTTTTCAACTATTTGAGAAGCAGCTGAAACGTTGGGATGCTTTATTGATTTGGCATTTAAAACAACGGTACTTCGTAATGTACTACATCGTGGATGTGATTTGATAGTCTACGTGTGGTCTTAATTCAATAATTTAGATGCTCAAATGCAAAGTTGAAACGATCTGATCTAATACTGCGTTCATTCGATGAGAATTATCGTAATTGAATGCAGTCAATGCATCATCAATCGTAAGTTGGTGCTTGCTGGCTATTGATATCATCATAAGACAACCATATATTTAACTTAAAATGATGAGCACTGTGGTGAATGATATATGTAATTTAGAGTTGGTTACTAACTAATTAGTAGCAGGTATAAATTTTGCTGCGATAGGATCACGAATGCATTTGATTGATTTTTAATGTTCTTTTATCTGACGTAGCGATGTTGAAGTTATTCGAAAGCTGCGTTTTGAGAGAACAACAAAACAAGGTGTGCAGCTGCAAAGCGATTACCCTTTAGATTTTACATCTTATGAATGGATGGATTTAACATGCGAGAACAAACTTTCTAGAAGCGTTCACTCCATTAAATGATTTTCAGTGTTATTTATGTGCTCATGAGAAAGATTCCAATAGACAATTGTGGTTGTGATCAATCGAATGTGCGCAATATTTGTTTTCGTTCGAATGTTTGTCTTAAACGAAATAAAACAATATTATCCTCTGCTCATCGAATATCAAATAATCCTGTTAAATAAACAAACGATCCAACTTAATAATCACTTCCCCAGCGCACGCCTCTCACAAGAAAAAAACGTCCTCAAACGATACTGATCATCATCACAATATTTCCCCACTTCGCCACAAAAATCAATCATTGCTGTCGATTGAAGCGAAAGAAACGATGCTTGACTTTCAACTTTCAATGATTTTCGACGTAATTTTAGAAACTCGACGGCTGTATGGCTGGATAAGTGGATAATGCGATTCCTCAATTTCATATATACTCCTATGGAATAATTTTTTATGCATAGTTGATAACTTGTCAGCAATCAGCAATAAAGCACGTAAACCTTCTGGAATGAGAATTTAGATCGTATAGTCTAAATCGAGTAAGACAAGAGCTAAGCATTCATCGTTATTATCACATCTTTCGTGAATGTGAATGTTTCTTAATGAATATCTGTTCGCTTTAGATAAATACTCTTGCATCTCAATGATTCAATTGATATAATTTTTTAATCGAAGGATGATATTTTTTCGAGTTGGAACAAAGCTTATCGCTTGATTTGTTTTTGCAAATGAGAAGATACGTCAGTGAAGCGCATCAGTTACGTGGTGCGGTTCCATAAATGATTCTTCGAAATGTTGACTGATGATGCCTCTCGACATCGTAATTGACAAAGTGGGTGTTTGGTATAACAGTTCGGAGAGGAACAAGGCGGCGATGAACATGCTTTACAAAGAATCGATTCGTGCACGACTGAGTGTCCCTTCCAACTCAATTAGCCTCATTCAATCAGCAATTCAAATGTGTTCGAATGTTATCAAAGGTACTTTGGTAGATCAACAAAACGGTGCGCTTCATTTTACCGCGATGAAAAAAAGAATGGCAAACTGCTTGTCTTGAACTCGAAGTCAATTTCTTTTTCGGTGAAACAAAAATAAAGCGATCGGTAATTTTTGTTTCGGAAAAACGACGAAAAGATAATCTTTCTTTTTTTTCGCAAATATTCGAAGTGTTATTAAAATAGCGCAAAGTAGGAAAAACATGAATTGAGCGGCCGCCACTCTTTCAAATACTCTCATCTTCAATTGTCGAAATGAGACGCAAAAATTATTGCTGTTTTGCTTGGTGTTGAAGTGAGGAATGTTGAATGTATACAAGAAAGTACTTAGTGGTGGATGGATCAGTTGAGGTTGTTTGATCACTTTGCAAGCAATAAACAATTTATGACTGAGCGCTAAATTACAATCTCTCTTGGAAACAAACCCTTCCGATCATTGCACAGCTAGTTTTATTGACGCATTTACAACTTGCCATAGCCATGAAAGCAAATTCAATAAGTGCTCTATAATTGTTTCAAACAATCGCTCTGGAACTAATATGACAAAAGCGTGAACTCGATGTTGTACTGATGATTTGTTATTTGCAGCACAAATAAGATAAATCAAGATCTGAGGTTTACAATAAGATTCTTTTGCTTTTAAAACCACATTATGCGAATCCTGTTTCTCAAATAAAGTTCATCGTTCGCCAATAATATTGACGATTCATATTCACCGCAAAGTTTTTCGTCCATAAAATTCTACTTGAAAACAATTTACGTAGTATACCTACGATTTTTTTCTAATCATTCACAGCAAAGAATCGGCGTTGATCAGTGAATAGTAGTGGTTAAAGGTGACTAGCTATCTCGCGTGCACACAGCAAATTCATTTTGTTAAGGTGATATCGCATTACAAGAAGCAGCACGAATAACTGAAAACAGCCGTCCGTACATCAACTTCTGTCAGTGAATCGAATTTCAACAATTAGATCGATTCACGTAGTTAATTTTGATCGTGTTTTAATATTTCTCGATTGTATGCATATTTACACAACATTACATTTCAAGTGTCATTGAAAGCTTGTTTTGCTGAGATTCTCAAGCAGTGTGAATTGTTTAAGTTTGTGTATGCAAACAACCCAATAATACGGTGCAAATACAAAAGCTCTGAGAATTCATCACAACTTTCCTTTCCTCATACTACTCATCTTCACCTTCTGAAAGCAATTCCATTAATGAAAAACTCGGCCATCGCATATAATTCGCCGCGTCATCTTTTACCGATCGGATTACTGCATAAAACTTACGATTAATAGCGTCAAATTCAAAAGGCAAAAATTTTTGCTACTTTTTCGGAGCTGAAACGATGAATGCTTACACTACTTTGCAGCACAATTTGAAGTGTTCAAGACGGAGAGAACAGAGTAGGTGATTTTATCGACACATTTTTCACCTATGCTTATGCTTAATGCGGTTACTGATTGTCATGATGAATCAGTCGTTTGTGAGAATTCGAAATTGCATCAGCCTGATTTGTTGTTTTTTTGGAGGCGCAAATGAACAGTCAATTGGGTACGAAAAGGGAATGTAGCTAATGATAATGCTGAGCGATTCCGGTGAAGATTTTCTTTTGATGAATGCAACTGGCCAAAAAACGTTTTGCGAATTCGCTTAAAATGGACTTTTCATTGAAATGCACAGCAGCAACTGCTGAAAGTCAATTACACATGCACTCCTCAAAGATGAGACAATATTTTCCGAGAACATTCAATAGATGCACATAGAGAACATGTCGCTCATATGTTCAAAGTCGACCTGTTATGTGTGGTTTTTATCAACTGAATGCTAGAAGTGAGTGAAATCAGTTTTGAGATCATCTAAGCGGTTCAGTAAGGAGCAAAGAAGAAAGAAGAAAGAAAAAAAACTCATTGAAAAAAAAGAGATCTAAGCGGCTTAGCTAAACGATTGAATTATCTTCATGTTCAACAATCGTTTGCCATAATGTTAATAGCTCCACTGCAATAGGACAATAAATAAATTCAAAAAGCCGAAATAATAATCTTGAACAGTTCTAATCAACTTCATTTCCATCAACTCAGTCCCCACCTTTTCTTGAATTGTATCTTGAAACAAGCATGTGATCAACATCTTATACAATTTGAACATCACATTAATTCCCGTTCACTCACCTCACACATCTGAATCATCAGTGTAGAGCATTTCTCAACGAAACATGAACTGATCATATCTTAAAAAAGCAATACATGGAATTTTTTTTCTGCCAAATCGTGATCGCAACATCAACGCGTAATTGTTTCTGTTCTGATTGCAAATTGAATTTCCTGCAGTTAGTCAGTCACGCACATGACATTAACAGATTCTTCGAGCAAATACAAGCTCTCAAACTCATCGAAGCGATTCGAAATCGAGAACAATAATTTGAGGACAAATGAGAGCAAGCAAAACCCTATTGCACTGCTCGAATGTTTGCGCTCGTTTATCATGAAGACTTAATCGGCACAGAGAATGTTCACGTCTTGTTTTTATACCTCTTTGCTGTTCCTTACAAGAAACGCAAAGAGGCAGAGTGACGACCATCAACGTACTTGATATACATATGACTCTCTCCATCAAGGAATCTTTTATCGTTAAAGTATTCACCAGTCGATATTGATCTCATCTCTCAGCTTCAATTGTGCATTTCTACGTGATCTTCATTGCAGGCTCAGTGAATCCCATCAATGAATTGCAAAGAAAGGCGATTAATTAACATTTTCTGTGCATTGGATGCTTCGACTGAACAAAATGTTTCTAGCCGAATGCTTCAACTCTATGGGGTAATTAAAACAATCTTCACAAAGCTGCTGTTGCATAATAAAAAGCATTTCCGAGAGAATGTTTTGGGTGTTCGCACTAAATGTTGGTCATGTGAACATAGACTACGCGAACAGGAAACAATGCTAAATTGATTGATCTCTAGCTTTATTGAAAACACCTAACAGCATAAATAGCAACGAACGGCTTTGTGCAATAAGCAGTGCACTCTAAGGTGAAATTCCATCAGATTTATAGCGTATAATTAAAGCGAATAAATGATTTCAGTGAAGGAACGAAATGAGATTGGTGATGGGAAGACAGGAATGAAATATTCACTCTGAGCTGATTGATGATCTTCTTTATGCGAGTAAATAA